TTGCTATGTGTATGATGCTTTTGTATGTTGCTATATGTTGTATGCTTGTAAGGACAGCCTGCTATTCCAAATTCATTCAGTTTTCTATTCCATTATATGCATCTCATTCTTCCTATGACACTCTCCCTTTTTTCATTCATACTTTTATCTCATTCATAGATGCGTATAATTAGTTAATCCCCATTATATTTATTAAATTTCGTTTATTCAATTTGGAATTTAGAGGTCAGACGGTGTTTTTCTACTTATTTAAAATTTTAAGTTCTAATGTCATGGGTATGTTCGTAGTGTTCCGTCTGTCTAATCAATTAAGAAATTTGTTGTTAGGGGGCAAGGGTCGCGAAGTTTCTATATTCGGACCCTACTTCCCCACATTTTTTCTAAAGATAATAGCCGAACTAAAATTATACCGATTACATAATATGATTCTAAATTCCTAATAAAACACTGATATCAAGATAGCCCTGTTTCTAAATTTATAAGAAAAGCCAGATCACCGCAGCGGAAAGCGGTGAGATAAGCCTATGGCTAATTGAGAGGACGTTAACCTATGCCCTCAAGGGATACAACTTTTGCCGCGGCCGAATAATTATAGGTTATTCGTAATTCTACCGCAATTGGCGGGAAAAAAAAACTGCTTTTAGCAACGAATACCATTTTGTTTTTGTCTTTTCTATATCTGCTTATCCTGGCCGGAGTTAGTACAAACAACTAATATCTCTTAAGACGTAACCGTTTTTATAAATAAGATATCGTTATGTAATAATTATAGACCGTTGGCGGCAGTATTGTTTAGTTGGTAGATAAAAACAAGTTAGTAAGTTTTAAGACTAGACGCAATTTTCGCAGGCAACGGAAGTGAAGGAAAGGGCGGGTTGTTAAACAGAGAGGACGTGTTTTTTCTTAGCTCCCGAACTTTAAGGATAATATTGGATGATTCGCTACACATTAAGGATATTACACTAGGAAAAGCTAAGGTAAAGTAAAATCTACTTAAATCCACTAAATTTATAAAAGTCTATTTAAAAATCTACTTTACCTCATAACTATAAATTAATTGCCGATATATAATCATTAAAGCCAACTAGTACTTAATTTTACCACCCCAAACAACTCTTACTTCAACCAACGATGTAAATATACCCTCCTATACAAATGTTACAAACTATTTAACATACTGAATAAAAACCAAAACTATTAACTAAAAATTCCTTTATTCCTTTGTTCTTACGGAAAAATTCCTTTGTTCCTTTGTTCTTACGGAAACAAACACGTGGGCAGCCAAATATATTTACTGTATAGTGGTACTACTCCACAACAATAACCTCAAACAATATACTATGAATACTTAATCATACATCCCCACATGAATTTACATTAAAAATATTTATGGAAAAAAAATTTAAATTAAAAAACAACTGTTCAATTCCCCTTCCAACATACCGGTTTAATATTATACCAGCTTACAAATCAGATAACACGAAATATTGGATGATTCGCTTCACATTAAGGATACTACACTAGGTAAAGCTAAGGTAAAGTAAAATCTACTTAAATCTACTCAAAACTACTGAATTTATAAAAGTCTAATTAAAATCTACTTTACCTCATAACTCTAAATTAATTGTCGTTATACAATAGTTAAAGCAAACTAGTAATGAATCTTACCACCCCAAACAACTCTTACTTCAAGCACAGATGTAAATATACCCTCTTTTACAAATTTTTTTTTTTAACATTGAATAAAAACCAAAACTATTTATTAAAATTTTCTTTGTTCCTTTGTCCTCACGGGAAAAACACGTGGGCAGCCAAAAATATATACTGAACAGTGGTACTACTACATAACAATAACCTCAAACAATATATTTTAAATACTTAATCATACAGCCCCTACATGAATTGAGATTAAAATATTTAGTGAAAATAAAAATTTAAATTTAAACTCTAGCCAACAGTTAAATTCCCCTCTTAACATACAGGGTTAATATTATACCAGCTTACAAATCAGATAACACACAATACATAAACCCTAAACTAAGGCTGCATCTTATTGACCGATAATAGCCGCGCTTAATTACAAAGAAAACATACAATCTTGAGCTAAAAGAAGGGTTGAAAACTAAAATCTATACCAACCAATCAAAATTTAGCACTCGAATGACGTACACAAGAAACGCAACTTTAGTACAAACACTCCCACATAACTACTAATAAATTACACTATTTTCCAAATTAACGAGGAATAATTAAAATCTGAAGCATCCAATATTATTAAATATAAAACTAAAAAGAATAATTTAGATCCCTTGTAATAAGAACACTAGGAATTATTACACCTTACCTTTAGTCAATGTAGCCTTAGTTATAAGCATAGTTGAATCATAACAATAATCATAACTATTTATAACATACATATACTGTATTTGTATTTTAAATTTTCTTACTATATATATATATATATATATATATATATATATATATATATATATATATATATATATATATATATATATATATATATATATATATATATATATATAAAAAGAATAACAACCCTTCAAGCGTACTGGAGCCACCAAGGGATCACGTGTGTCAGGGATTAATTAAAATAGATGCTATAAACTCAGACCTGTTTACCCGACCGTATTTGTACGGAATAAAGCCTATCCGTACGGTCATACGGTCATTGAACTGAAAATACGATTTGAGGTTGCATTTATTTATTACTTTTTTAAAATTAATTTTTTAAGCCGTTTTTTTTTTCCGTTTCGTTTCGTTGTATCGGTCTCTTCGGTCCGCATCCGCGTCCGCATTTTGTGCCACGTTACTTATTTTGACATTCTCAACATCCGGTTGTTTAAACAAAGGAAAATGCCGCCGACAAGAAAGTTTCAGCACGAAACTGATGATGAAAATGGAAAGTCTAACACAGAAAGCATCATTTTCTACCAGTTTATTCTACTCTGTGGCAATAAATGAGAACATTTTGTGCATTGCACTGTTTGCAACTTAGACTTTTCCTGTGCACATGGTGGAAGGAATGACTGATCACGGCATGTGGAATCGGAAAATCATACAAAATTGAAATCATTAGTGAATGGAAATAGAAACATTTTGTCAATTGATGAAAGGAAAGGAAGTCAGTGATCAAAACATACTTCAAAAACAAATAACACGTGCTGAGGCGATTCTATGTGAGTTGATCGCAAATATGAATTTGTCATTGAGTACAGTTGACAAGTTAACGGAAGCAATGAAAAATAATTTATGAACCTTATTTCCATTCTAGTAAATATTGACAAAGATGATACTAGATTTTATCAGATAAATAAGATTGAATTCACCTATCTAAATAAAATTATTATTTTCTAAGTGGATGGGTGGTAACAATGTCATAATGTTTTATATCAAGTCGTCCTTAACCATGTAAAATAGAGAATTGGCTTTAAATAAAATGTTATGGATATGTGTGAAGCTGAGAAAACAGAATTTCTAGAGAAAGTAACGGAGGTAAACAACAGAATAAATTTGATTATGTTGTATTTTTTGTGGTTTTTATCACTATAATATGAACAGGATGTTTAAGTCAGTGGTGTTCAATTTCTGCATATTTGTGTCTTGAAACACACAATTAACTGAATACCAGCGTCTTTGTAAACTAGGAGTTATTTACACAATATTGTATAGTCATTATGGTATATTGATAGTATCTACTATTTGTGTGCTGAAAATACTGACTGCGGTCTAAAAATACTGACGCATTGCTTAAAATACTGACAGGAAAATTTATGGGTAAACAGGTCTGGTACCAACAAGATGAGATGTGTCGCTTACCAGTCCAGCTGAAGGGCCTGATGTTCATGGCATATTGAGTGCTCCGCAAAGGGATAATGGCAAGTCCTCGTTCTTAATGCCAGAAATGCTTTATGTGTACATGGAATGATTTCTGACATGGACAACCCCTAGTGATTGTAAAAATAATTTTGATCAGTGGACTCAACCATGGAGTGAAATGGAATTTTGTTTTAAAGCAATTGTTGATGTTTACACATTGTTCAGTCTCTTATAGTGACCACCACCACCGATGTCTACAACCCAGGTCTATGGAGTTAAATTCCTTACCAGATTGCCAGTTACTAGTGTTAGTCACAACTTGCTGGTGACCACTCCAGTGGCCTAATGGCTATAGCATATACCTTGTATGCTGGAGGTCACGGGTTTGAACAAATTCCGAAATAAAATTCTAAAAAGTGATTTGAATCTTCAGTCATGGAGTGAATCGTACAGTCTTGAAGAGATCCTATTTTAAAGGCTTACTTGGGAAAGTGGCATATTTTCAGTGACTGTTTCAGGGACAACACCATCATCCATTTGAATACCTTTCTGCCTTAGCTAGCTAACCTTTCACTCTTGTTTTGTTGAAGAGATGAAGGTTGTTTTTTTTAAAGTGGATATAGGCAACATTAAATAACAAGAATTGGTTGCCACCTGTGAATAGCAAGAAAGTGGCCATCCACTTTCTCTCCATTATATGTTGAGAGAGGTGCAAGGCTTGTTCTCAGTGAAGATTATAAAAGAGGACATAACCCCATATGCCTTTAGTTATTGGTTGAAGTGGATGAAACACTTGGTGTTCTTTGAGGTCTCACATGGCTAGATATGTCCGATGCAAATTTCAGCTTATAACATATGGGTGATCTTTGCAGGTTTCACATTCAAATGCAACTTTTTGATCCAAGACATTATTAAAGCTACTGGCTGGCATACACAGCCTGCCTTCTCAATATCTGAGAGATATTTCAAGCATCATTATAGTTGATTCTAGTGGGTCCAGTGGTTGGGGCCCAAATAACCACCAGTCCCAGTTCACATCAGTACAACTTCCTCAGGGGTGTGGGTTTGGTGCTTTGTTGGATTTTCCTGTTAGTTAGAAAATATTATTCTTTTCTCATTACCTATGTATGTCCTGGTGCTGTGCTACCATCTTGTTGGGACACTGCTCAGGTGGCCTAGTGGTTAGAGCATCCACCTCAGATGTAGGAGGTCGTGGGTTCAATCCCCGACCGAGTCATAACAAAGACTTAAAAAAATGGTACTAACAGCTGCCTCACTTGGCGCTCGGCATTAAGAAGTTAGTATTAGGACTGGTTGGCCTGGTTTCAGGATAATGTGACTGGATGGGACATCATGATACATGTCTGCGGCATGATGCCCCAGTCCTAGACATCACTGTAAACTGCCACACTGCAGACATCGTAGCGATATGACTGAAATTTTTTTAAAGCTACTTTAAAAAGTCTAAATCACGCACACAAACACACACCATCTTGACGACGAACAGTACGATTTTGCATGGCACTACAGTTTCAACTTCATACATAAAGTCTTTTGAAATTTCCTTGCAAGCAAGATATGTGACAGCTGTCAGAAAGTGTGTAGTGCTGGAGGTCTATAGGGTGCAATTTGAGGTCCAATTGTTCTTAAGAAATCAAAACTAAATTTGCTATATCTTCCTTAATTATAGGAATTTTTCAATGCAGTAAAAACCTAATTGTAATACTTGATAAGGCCTGTCTGAAAATAGTCTTGAAATTAAAAAATATTGATATATTAAATTTTAATGAAAATTTTAAAAAATATATAAATTTTAAAAACTTTATTTTACAAAAAATAAATTTTCATACAAGTTTTGACATTCAGTTTGACAAATTTAAGGCAGCAATGTTGATTAATGAATGGTCTTTAAAACAAATGGTAGTTTAGGTCTGTACAACTGATAATATTAATCCCAGGGGTACTGAAGCATGATAGCTCACAGTGATTTTGACAGCAAATTGCAATATGCCTATCCAGATGCATATAGGTGTACATAGTAAAGAAACAATGACAGGTACTATGTTCCACATTTATTGTTTCAGGTACTTGGACAGTTGTTTGTATAACTAATATCCCACTCAAATTTAAAGTTTTGATGGGACCACTACCATGTTTTATAGCAAATATGCATTCCATTTTAATGCCGATAACTACAAAAGTCAACAATGCAATATGAAAATACAGTTTCACCTTACTGAAAAAAAGATGCGAATCTCTCTCATGAAGATCTAAGCCATGTCTTTGAGATGCTGTATATCAGTGTACTGATATGAACTCATCTTGGTCACTTATAGCAGCACACTGCACATGTCCTTATGAGACCTTGCTATCACCATTGGACTACTGGAGAGCTTCCAAATTGATCCAACTCTAATACTTTGTTCCAGATACCAAACTAGACCTGAAAATATATAACATGTTTCACTTAATTCTAAAAAAAGGAAGATGTAGGCAAATGAAGTTAAAATGTGTTAGATATGGTGATTTCAAAATATAATTCAGGTTACAAATAGGGTTAAAAAAAGGTAAACTTGATAGAGTGACACTCAAAGATGTGAAGCAATGGGCATGTTTTAAAATGACAAATGCATCCTAAAAATAGATGAAGTTTCTGCAAGCATATTTAGCCATTTACAGGTTAAATAACTAATCAGGTAGAGTATGTATCATAAAGTTTAAGGCAATGTTGGAATGGTGAGGTTTGATCATTGGTGCAAACATTGATACATACCAGTATAGTGGAAAGTCAAATGACAATGTACCAAATTAAAATTTATTACTATATGCAATCCTATTCATGAAGGAAAAACAATTTTAGATATTGTGAGTGAATATAGCAAAATGTAGCCACACAGATCAACTATAGGTACCAATAGATCCTATATCATCAACTAAATGTGAAATTTTCATCCCGAAACTTGTAAACAAGGATGGATATTTGCATGTGTGGGACATATGCAATGTACTTGTTAAAATTACATGTGCAAACATGATTCAAATAATCTCTTTGAACATTTTTAGTCTATTTTTAAGAGTTCTGGCTACCAAGTTATTAAGTTCAATGATTCAATGGAATCAAATATCAGCTGATGCTGCAATACCGCCCTCTGTCAAAGTACTAAATTGAAATGTGTTACCATACAGAGGCATATTCATGATGGAAATAACATCTTGGGATATTTTAAGTGCACACAGTCAAAACTGAGCCTTACAGATTCACTATAGGTACCATGTCAGCCTAACAATGTCAACTTTTGATTCCAAACATTACAATATATATATATATATATATATATATATATATATATATATATATATATATTTGTTCATGTCAGCTATGTAACCATGTTAGGATCAGTTGTAGAAAGTTAAATTCAAATAATCTGTTTGAATATTACTTATGTAATCTTTAAAGTGTCAGATAACAAATATTATTAGTCATTAATAATGCATAAAGCAAAATGGATCATGAGAATTCCCATAATATCATCTGGGCTACAATGTCGCACTACATCAATCAACATCTTAAAGAAACTATACAATAAAATGGAATGCATTCTGTGTTCAACTTACATCATTTTGCTGTTTTCTTACATGCAATGGTAAATATACCTGGGTAAAGTATATTTTACCCCTCTGACCTGTATTGCATTCTCTGACAGCTTAATATGATTTGTAGAGAACTTGAACAGGTTCTAGTATAAAGTCTTCATCTCTGTCCTCTCACTAAATACCCTATAACTATGGTTATAAACAATTACTGATAGCTATACAAGCAGATATGTGTTACTCAGGAAGTCACCCCATCATAAACACATAAATTAACTGTTTGAACCCCAAATAAATAGTTTCAATGACCTAAAGGTACAAAGCAAAGTAGAATTTTGTCTTCATGTATTTTAAATGAGGGTCTCATTTTAACTAATAAAGATATTTTCTCTGATCAAATTTGACAAATATCCATCATTTGAGCTTATATATGGTGTAGGAGTATATATATGCTGATATCATTTAATATCATTCCCAAAAAATATATATGTGTATACTTGGTGGAAATTTTTTATTTTTTAATTGTTTTTTTTAAATTTCATTTAAATTTTAAAAATTAAAATTATTTTTTTACTTCTAATTTCATTTTTATATTTTAAAGTCAATATACATAACATTAAAATTTCATGTATATGTCATTAATAATAAAAAATTTATATCAGTTTCAAGTTTTTACTGACAGGCCATAGTACACAATTAATTTTACTATATGGTCTCTACATTTGCTCCTCAGTACTGAACTTTCCACTGTGTGACAATCAATACAAATCATATGTTAATTTAAAATACCTTCAAAGATGACTTTACGGTTTAGTTCTTGTCAAGGGTTGACCTGCATTTTTTTGAGAGGCTGAATTGTAAACAAAACACCAGGCAACGGAACACAGATTTCACTTCCGGATCATCACCATGACCTTATTACTCAATGTGCACTGTCGCCGAAATACACACAGACAACCACACCATAAGATCACATTTTAAAGAATAATCAATTGCCTTTAAATCCTTACCAAGAATGCCAAAATCTAACTCTAGTATCACCACCAAATTTAGACCGGAAAAAGTGATCTAAAAATAGACTGGGACTACATTCGTGGGTACTGAATCGGATTTTATTAATTGTGTACTGATTCCTGAAATGAGTCTTTTTCAAAGGCAAATACAAAACATATACGATAAACAAATCAACACATAAACGTTATGTTTGTAAACCTCTACATGGCTGTCTTCACATGTGCTAAAACTATAAATACAACCAGCTTGTATAGACTAGATGCGGAAACTGAAAACGTTGTATAATTCCCTAAAAGTCTACAAGCCAAAGCGACATCTATTTTTACTTTTTGTACATATGTAACGCAGATTATATCCCGGATATTTGGTTCTATACCGGTTATTCTTATAGTAAAAATTGAAGGATATTAAGAAGATTTAGAAAATGTTAAATGCACTAGTATATAGGATAAGATTTCCCACCATGACAAGGACATAAAGGTCAAGGCCGATAAAGGAAAATCAGGAAACTCCTACCTGATAGCCCTAACTCCCAGGAGCGGAGTAGACCGATTAGTCGGACGCACACAAAGACCGAAAAGTAACCTGGTAAAGGCTACAATCACAAAAGTGAATGGAACGGACGAACAATTAGCGATGGGCTGTCCGAAAATAAGTCTACAACCTATGTCTTCACTTTGGCCTGGAAGACCCAACATTAACACGAGATCCTTTGGAAAGGCAGTCAAAATTAAAAACCAAACATTGTCAAAGCGGTGATAAATGTCAAAAATTAGGTGGCATACACCTAGAGATTGAGTTATTTTTTTTAGAACCATATAAGTACGCTATGTACGCAAAATTCAACCTCATCAAAATATATTCAAAATTCACAACTCGGGAACATTTGGATAATTGAATAGGTGGCTAACACATCATTGGTATAGGGACACCCGTAGGAAAAACTGGTTAAATTTGACAATAATCCACCTGAGATAAAGTTAGGTGAACTTAGGCATTGTGGACTTTAGTAGGCGGGAGTTGAGGCGGAAGGCCGTTACGCTCTGTTACAATACGCCGCCAACCAAAGGGTCTTAAGGTCAGCCAATAAAGGTCAGCACCACGACCAAAAGCCCAGCCCTAGGGCTAAGCGCCTCCCTGGATAGCAATGCTATCGAAAGGTAACATCTGGCCAAGGCGGTGAGCCACCAGGGGGTTAATAGTCCCACGCCCCGGGGCAAAAGTGTCAGCACTGAACACTGGTGAGCCCGGCCCCGGAAAGGGGAGAGGCCACTAGCCCTTTTCAGGGCTTAAAGACATAAAACACTCGAATGTATACCTGACTGTAAACACAATATGAAACAGACAACGGAAGTTCCCCCTGGCTTCTAATTAACCTCCCTTAGCCTATACCGTACGGATATAATAGCTTTAAAGGAAAATTATACCCTTTTACCCGCGAGTAACTTCCCATTTATGACGAGAGAACAGTCTGACATCTGAAAAGAGCGATGACGCCGTTAAGTGCGGACATTTCTTTTAACCAATTATCGGAATAGTACTTAATCTTGAATAATATTGGACTTAAAATCAGATCAACGTTTCATCAGTGAAGCCTGCACATTGCTACGGTTACAGTAAGCTATCTTTATG